TATAGAAATATATATATATATATATATATATATATATATATATATATATATATATATATATATATATACATGACGACTTTTTAGTCGGTTGTCGGATGTTATAAGCTGTCAAAATCTTGGATCCGCCTTTGTTCACATTGAAATCTCACCATTGTCAGGCAACGATGGGGGCAATTTCCTAGTAATGAAATGCCCCGAAATATTTTTTTTTTAAACGAGGGACAGTTAGAGAAGTGGAAAATAGGGTCCCACCCTATCCTAACTTGCACTACAGTTTGTTTATTGATAGGGTGATGTTTTATTATTTTGTTATTTGATAAAATAATATCTAAAGTGATTTTTTTTTTCAGCAAAACTTTGTCATAGTCTCAACGTTACAAATATACTATTACGTATACTACTACGTATATTTGAAGTAGCACTTTTGTTATGCTTAATGCTACGTTATTGCCCTCGTTTTGCGTGAAAACATGACATAAGAAAACGTGACATATTAAGAAACCTCGCATTCAAAATATCATCATAGACATGTATTTCCAAACCAAACCTAACTTAAACAAGCTCCAATCGTCCCCTCTATCTATTAAGTCTAAAGTCTAATTTTAAAGTGCATTGTTTCTTACCTGTACGATCGTCACGTCTGCGTTCAATTACCCTTGGTCAAAAACCACGCACAACATGAATATTAACCTGATGGATGACATATAGTTCCTGTTAAGATGTGAATTGTTTCCTCGACGAAACAGAGAGGATAAACTTCACTTTTCCCTGTCCTGTCACAAGTCCAATTATTTTACCGCTTGTTGGTATTTACAGCTTATACGTGTTGGGTTTTACCACCATAAACACTCGTATAACAAGGGTCCGAAAAACAGGAGCGAAAAGAAATAAACATCCCGTTCCGAATCGTTCTTATCAGGAAACGGACTTCGTTCAAAAGGCGAGATTTTGTTTAGAGTTGTCAGTAGCTGTCTGTGTATTTATTCGGAGTCGCAATAATATTGTTGATGGTCATTAAGCGTATCGCTATGTCTACACGTACGGACTGGAATAATGTTGCGTAATATCAATACAGGTAAATGATTTAGATTAGAATCTTCTTCTGTGAAATACATTTCAAGTATGACTAATCTTGTTCTATTATATCAATTCAAGTTTTAAGGTTGTTCTATAGTACAAGGTGTAAAACAATTTCGAAACTTTTGAGCTGGGGGAAGGGGAAGGGAGAGTATACATTCATATTCGAAGAATTGCATATAATTTTACGTTTTTGAATTGTCCTCTTTATATTCGAAAAATGCAGTCAGTCTTACTTATTCTTTGTATCGGATGTATTAACGACTATATGTGTATATTTAAAAGTAAAACCTAATTATAAACTTACAGTCGTTACCACTTTGTCTCTCTCATACCTCATTCATCTTTCTTTATTTCTAACTCTCTTCCTCTCTCTATCTCTACATCTCTTTTCTTCCCCTCTCTTTCTTTCTCTATCTCCTTCTCTGTCCCTTCTCTCCCTGTCACTCTTTCTCTCGCTCTTTCAATCTTTTCTGTCATCTGGTAGCTAATTTATCTCTCCCCAACCCCTCCCCAGCCATTACAAAAAATGCTTCTATATGATTGGATCCACTGGCAAGCAATTTTTCTTTCCCATGATTGAACCAAAAATACAATTAAAACAAAAACAATTACACAAACAAAGGACATACACAAAAAACAGATATCATGGTCAACGTTCATTTTCCTTCTAAAGAGAATTAACAATTATAAAATAAATGACATCATGCTCTTGTAAGCAAGGTCAATGTTTGTCTTACTGGTATTTTGCTTGTTTGTTTATTTGTTTGTTTTGTACTTTTTTAATGATGATGATGGTGTTTACTGATGGATGTGGAAACATTTGACGAAATTAGTAGAAATTTGGATAGTTACGAAATTCATGACAATATAATATAATCTTACTCGTATTTGATGTAGGAATGAAAATATTAAATTCATATTCTAAGAGTGTGCATATCTATTCTCGTGCAATAAAAAAAAACATTCATTTACTCGTGTGCAATATGGAAAGTATGTTTACATGAAAAAATAAAAGACAGCTAGGAAGAAAGCATTTCAGGTTTCAGCCTAAATTTATACGATTTAAAACAAAATGAACAAACAACTTTTATAATACATGTACCTCCGACTTTCTTACAACTTACACAACGGTCTCCTTATAAATACTGGATATAAGCATCATTTTCTGAATTAAAAACAAATCATTTCTTATGCATCAACAGAGAAAATGTCATTTTTAGAGTGTTCCCAAGCGATTGTTTCTTTCTGTTCAAGAAATCGAATATTTCTCATACGTTGCGTTTGCGTATGAGTTCTTTTGAATCACATCGCCTTTATTTCTCTTTCGCTTTGGTGCGACTTTAGGTTTTTTAACCTGATGTTTCCCATGTTCTCTCTGATTGCCTACAGTATATGTATCGACCACGGTACGATCACCGCTCTGTGCGCTCTCATTCTCGAGTTCATGCACCGTTTCGTTCACGCGATCGTCATTACTCTTGGGGGACATTGCCTCGTAGAAGGTTTCATTCTTTGAGACGTCATTAGAGTCATTTTTGACACCGTGGACTTTCCACTCAGTCGTTTCATCAGATACGAGGTTAGTGGTCAGGTTGACGTACGCGTGTTTCTTATCGTCGAAATCGTTTTCTTTTGTTGTAGCGCCTGGTGGCAATCGCCGTTCGTTGTCTGTCGGTTTCTTAGCCGCGCACGCAGTCATCGGGAGGTACCTATGATAGGCAATTGTTGTCGCTTTCTGAGTATTCTCAATGGTCGTCATATAAAATGGTTTTTTGGCCAACAGTTTCAAATCGACCTCGGGGGTTGTCATATCGCCCTCCTGAAAATTAGCGTATTCGTTTTCCGTGTCGTTGATCGCCGTCGCGTAGTCATGCTCGATCTTGCAGTACACACTGGTGTCGTGCTGCGCGGGATCCCCAGCGGCGACCGAGTAGTGATGGTGGTCGATGCCGGGTGAATGGGAGCTGCTTGTCGACGTGTTTTGACCGACTGCGTCGTAATGGTCGTCGTCGTCGTTGTCGAACTCTTGATAATCGGACTCCTTGCTGTGCGGGTCGTCGACGCGGCTGCTGCAGGAGACCTGTACCATCGGGATACTGTGTGAGGGAGAGTCTTGGGATCCATGACGTGGATGAGCAGGGGTGCGGAAATCTCTGGTGTCTGGGGTGGTATACAGGTGGGAGAGTACTTGGTGTCCTGCCACAATCGGCTTGGTTCTGCGTCTGTATTTAAAAAAAAAAAATACAAAAGAAATAAAGAAATTAATTTGACCTTAGCATGTACCTTAATCAGTAGCCTAATTAATTCCCCTTTCATTTTGCGTGTGTGAACGATGCCCCGTCTCCCCCATTCAGGTTCGGAATAGTAAAAGGAACACTAATAATTGAAATGTCGAGAGTTTTTAAATATCTTCATGGCTGGAGGACACGCCAAATCGACTACAGATTGCAGATAATCGAATAAAAAGGTGTGAAGTCACTTTTTCGATTCTGAGCCAATTAGTTTGTTTCCGCCTCCATTTGAAATCAAATGCCCAAAGCGCACTTGTGAGCAGAAAACCAAGAAATAGATCACATTAAAGCATCTGCATTATAGACAAAGAAACAGAAGTCAGATATAACATACACAATTGACAGAACAATTAGTCATATGCCGAATTAAACAGATAGGTTTTACGTTGTTATAATACAGGCAGGGCCCACAGGAAAAGCAGTAATACTACCGATGAGGATACGCTGGGTAAATAAGATCAAATGATAATACATTATTATACATGTATGTTCGTTAAAAGGAATGCTTGTAAGCCACAATACATACCGTCTTACAAAGTAGCAAGATATAATGAGCGTTGATACCAGCGCGAGCAGAACTAAAACACCAATCGCTGAGAACATCGGGATCATGAAACCATCTGATATGAAGTAGAAAAATAACACTTTCGTTAAGTTATCGGGACATCCATAGTAATATTGGACGATGAATCTACATAACTTAGCAAAGAATTCAGTATGTAATATTTGTCTATAGTATAGCTTTTATAATTATATGCAAATCCTGTTAGTGTTAAAAAAAATGATGTTTTCAATTATTTATGACATTATTAATGTTTCATGCTGTATGTTTGCTATGTTTTATTTTAATGATAATGATAATAATAATCTGGATTCATATAGCGCTTAATATGAAATACCGTCTCTAGGCGCTTTACATATATTATTATCTCGGTCTTTGGATTCATTCTTGTGCCACCTTCTCCATTCCTTGGGGAGTATTTCCACCACACGCGGGCACCGTGATAGCATTATGGCAATTACTAATACAAAGGCTTTTGTCATCCTACCAGGCCTTAATTTCTTCCCTGTGTATGGAGTAGGAAATGTAGATTAATGCATTACCAATTACCAAAAGACATTATATGCCGTGTCGGGGATCGAACTCACGACCTTTGCATTTCCAGTCAAGTGCTTAAACCACTCGACTACGAAATAAATGACCAATCTCATTAGGAAATTTGCTTACTTGATCTATTGTTGTTTGTAGATGACCCTGCGAGGTCTGGTTTTTTCTCGGCCGATCCCACCTTCGTCATAGGGGTAATTTTGGTCTCTGTGCGTACAAAAAAAATTGTGAAAGGATTAAGTCCATTCTAATCACATGATCAAGAAACAGAAATATCATTCATTGCAAATGGTCATCTATAGACTACACGACATTCAAGAGAGAAAGTTAACGCCTATGATGCGTTTTATGGACATACTTTAAGCAAATCTTTTAAAAGTGTTAGCATATCATCAAAAAGGTGAAAAGTGAAATTCATCCCAGCATTTGGCAAATAATGTTTAAAGTTTGATTAGTTATAATTAGACAACTTGAAGCGAAATCCAGCTTGATTCTAATTTTTTTTTTAATAGTAAAAATAAAGGTGAAAAGGGTGACCTCGAAACTCACTTTTCTCAACCACTGCACTGACACGGATCCAAAAACCTTGGTACGCCACGCTGTAATCGGATTCGAACCGAATCACAACGGATTGATTAACCGGAAACTCTGCGTAAAACCCACGTGGAGTCGAAGACCCGTTGAGAAAGAGGAGATCGCTGCCAGTTCCTAAGCGGGTACCCATCTTAACCGAGTCATGCTTCGGTTCGAGATGGCACGAGATGACGTCAACACGGATCAGTTTGTTTATTGGTGGATTTAGGTACCAAGTGACGTTTTGGCTCCGGGGATACGGGCTAGGGTAGTTTTCGGAAGCGATATTAAGTGGAGAAGCGACTTCAATTTCTTGTTCGCTTGGTTCTACAGTCAATTCTGTAAAGGAAATGAAAATACATATAAAATAAATGCAATAGCAAAAGAGAGAGAGAGAGAGAGAGAGAGTGAGGGACAGAGAATAATACAAAGGCGGATGGAGGGGGGGGGGCGGAGATTAGCTAAGTAATTGATTTAATTCATGCACATAGAGATCGCGAAAAAAAATTTCATTATCAAATGAAACGTAAATATGACAAGGACAAAATCATGTCTTCTCTTTTCCCACTAAATATTACAAATAATCAATAGCAACATAAAATCAAGAGAAAGAAAGTTGGAGAGGTAGAGATAAAGAGAGATTGAAAATAACAGTGAAACGTCGTCTCAGCGTATTCAGATTGAAGACCATATTATCATTTCAACATGATCGTGAATTCTTCATGTTATACCAATGAACTTATCGATTACATCGAAGTGTATTGCCATTGATCCAAAATCAGGAAGTGACAGCATTTGACAGTGGGATAAATATATATATTTTTTGTTTTACGCCTGGTTTCCAAAATGTATAGTATGCCCTTCAAAGGACATCCGAAAGGCCTTTTTTTTTTTTTCTTTTTTAAATGTAACTGTTGATATACATACCTTCGAATGGGTCCGGGCCTGCAGTTATTTCAATCAGGAAACCGCGAAAAGTTTTTGAAATGTCGGCATGAAACCTCAACCAAATTTCCGCGTTACCCGGTATGATAAGATCTGTCGGCAAATCGGTTTTGTTGTACCGATTTGATATGGAGACCAGATGTGTTCCGCGGTCGCTGAAATCCGATCCGGTTCCGATGATGATCTTGTCGTATCGGTCTTCCAAGTCTATGTCCCGGAACCGGAACGTAACCGATTGTCCTGCGGGTGCCGAGATTCTCCAGAGAATGTCGGCATAGTTCGGGTATCCGTTTGGATAATCGGGTGAAGTAATTTCGGTAGTTTGGTTATCCGAAAGTGCAATATCTCTCTCGTGATGTAAAGCTGAAATAGGAATCGGGAGTCAAAGGAAACTACAGTTAACATGATCGCAAATAATTTCAAAAAGTCATCTTGATACATGTTAATAGGCGTGTCCATCAGTTATTGAAACGTGTGAACATAAACTTAGGCGACGAATCCGTACACGATATCTGAGGATGTACAACCCTTGTAAAAACTTACCATGGTAACCATGGTTTTTTTTGTCCAAATTACCAACCACCATGGTAACCATGGTAATCATGGTATCAAACAATGACATTCATTGTTTGATTACCTTTTTTTTTACAAGGGAATAGGCTTACCTCATCAAATTTTAACACTATTTATAACTGTTTTGTTCACTGAATCATTCAAGGTAAAACTACGGAGACAGTCGGTCAAGGTGGGTGTATAGCTTATCTGTATATACCACCTGTCTGTGGGTGACAGGCATTATCAGTTTGAATCTATTTCCCAGAGACCCCGTCACACCAACGAGACCGAGACAAAACCGATAACAAAACAAAAGTACAGTACACCAAATGGCAAAGAATCGGTTGGTTTGGGGTCAGTGTGCAGTCGGTGTGACTGAGTGTTATTTAGTGGTACGTCTTCCTGTATGTGGTTTCCTGTTCCAAAGTGTCACTACAACCACATAAATAATAATGGAGTTTAATGTGAGTTCACAACCTAAAGTCAGTGGCATAGCCATAGGAAGGTATATGGGGCACATGGGCCTTTAACCCCCCCCCCCGAAACAAAAATATAAATACATAAACAGTAGACGAACGAGTGTAAAAGGAGAGCAGAGGGTAGGAGCCAACAAGAAGATGCTACGACACCCCCTCTCCAACCCTGTGCACCCTCTACCGTAATTAATGACGTTCTTAAATTGTATTTCAGCAACCAAGTACGTAAGACCAGTGCCCCCCCCAATCGAATCCTCTCGCCCCAGCCTGTTTTTAAAGTATTTGTATTTGACATTTTGTTCTCTGATGTTCAAATGATGTAAAAATGTTTGTATTACTGGTATGTCATATCATATCAAGTTGTTCTCACCTTCCAGTATTATTTCAAGCCTGTGCGGGAGAACACTGCCAGACGATGTATTTAATTTCAACCACGCACGCTGCGAGGGGACGAGGATGCTCTGACTTGGAAACATTCCTGAAAATCTGGCGAGGATTGACGAAGATTCCCGAACACTGGAACCCGTTCCGACGACCAGTGTATCATCGATGTTCTGCAGCATGAATTCCACGAAGCGAACAAGGATTCGGCAATCGTCGGGTGCTCGGACGAGCCATGTCGACGATGGTCGACCCTCCTCGGGATAGTTGCTCGTCAACGTAAGATTGTAAGGTTGTCCATGTTCTAGTTGAATTTCTGCAAGATCGGAAAGACACACCATGTTTAAAAAAAAAAATTATTAGGAAAACAAATAGAAAGAGCAGGGGGGCATATTTTCTCAAAGGTAGATTAGGCACTCTTTCCTCAAATCATAATACAGGACGACTACCCTTGGAATTTGGATAACCGACCCGGGGAACTACACAATATTCATGATGATAAGAGTGATAATGAATACCACAACTGCAGATGAAAATGGCCCAAGAATAACAAGAGAGAAGAAAAAACGAGTGGAGATATGGAAGAGGAAAAAATAAAAGAAGACGCTACAATTAAGCTCCTCCCACACCCACAATACCCTCAGAGTAAGACGCGAGCGCCTCCTGATCAATGATGTAAGCCACTATCTATTACCCCCCCCCCCCCCGTCACCCTGTCACTATGAAAGAATAGCAGGATAGATAATACAGTAATACCAAATTCCCTCCAACGAGATCGACAACAGACCGAGCATATATATGACATTACCCGTGAATGGCTCTTATCAAATTTTGACTGGAGGGGGGCGGGGTATGATAATATGGCCATACAATTCAATTCAATTCAAATTTTATTGATTAAAACCCAAGATATAGGATCATTCTCGATTTGTTTTAAGAATTTTTTTGTTTTCACACATACCTTCACGCTTGGCGGCCGTAACGCAGAAAACTCCATACAGCATCAACGCTTGAATTAGATAAGTAGATACCATCTTGAAGATTTTTCGTTGCGGAGGTGCAGTGCAAAGGGTATAAATTCAAACTTAGGCAAATAAGGCCTATATGAGCAATGAAAGTCAAAGTCGAGTCACTAAGCATAAGCAATATATAGCACAGTTTCAATCCAACACCAAGTAGGCAGGTTTCCGACTAAGAATTAAATGACAAATAATTCCAATGTTTATTGATTAGCGATGAATCATTAGCTTTCGTATGAGAAGACAGCGAAGCACAATAAAATCCAAGGCATTGAACAGTTATTCGTCTAATATTGCATGGATTGTTAAAAGACGAACTCTTAGATAGTCGTTCGGAAGAAGAGAGCGATAGTGCGGATAAATTATTGTATCATGAATATAAGCGATGTATTAAAATCGGCTTCTAACACTTCAGCCAAGTAAACGAAACGCAATTATCGTAGCCCAACTTTTCACATAAATTTATTCCAAGACTCTTGAAAAGTTTCAAGTTATTCACTCATCTGACAGAGTATTGTTCTTTATTTTATGTGCGTGTGACCAGCAAAAGAACGGAGATAAGAAAGACTCGAGCTCACAATGTTCATGATATTAGCGATATGAACCACCAAATTTCACTTCGGCGAGAATATCATATTTAGTTTGAGTGCAGTTCAAAGTTTTATCCAATTATTTGAACGAGTTACAGGTGTTGACGAAACTGTCCAATATTTCAGCTGACTGTTTCACATGTGAACAATTGTTTATACTTGTCAGACGATGAAAGTTTGAAATGACGACGGTGCAACGATAACGTCGAACAGAAATTTGCTGAATAATTATGATATAATACTCCTCGTGCAGGCAACTCCACATTCCTTTTCACAGCGTTCAACATCAACTGCGCTGAATCACCAAAAGCTTGGCTTGATAACTGGTATCGCAGCACAAAATGTTTATAAACACCAAAAACATGACGGTCGACAATGAAAAAAAATCCTGACGCAGTTGCAGAAAGCTTTCGCTGGAACGCCTTGGAGTCGTGAGAACTTGGAGACCTGATCAATGTCCCTTTCCCAAGATCGCTTATGGGTATGAGTCAGAATATCGAGGACTTTATTGATGATGTCATGACTTGAGGATTGTCTTAACAAAGCTAATAGACCGTAGCTGCCATTCAATTCTATACAATCTTTTTGTTTAAGTCATGTCGTTTTATTATTCTTGAGGATCCGTCCGCACTGACTCATACGCTTTGATATCTAATCCATCATCAACCTTCCCACTGCCGTTAGAGTTTGTTGTTGTCTGGTTTTAAAAGTCAAGGTGCGCAAAATTTCGTCGTGTTATACTGGGTCAGGCAGGAAGTATACAATGTCACAAAGCACACCTTCCGCACCGGTTCAATACCGAATCTCTGCTTTTAGAGAGATTTGGGCTAGTCGTACAGAATTCAATCATCGTGCGTCTGTTTGTGGCTTTCAGAATGCGTTAATTTATATACGATAACACAGCACGCCTTCTAGAGCTCTCAACAGATTGACAACAAACATAACATAGCAACAGCAGCATCACCACGACCAAAAACAAACGCGTTTTTGTACTAACAGCTTGATAATCTGGTTCAATGTCAGAATAATTTAGTTGGCCATACGGAAAATGTATTATAATGCGGTGCATTGAACAAAGCAATTACACACCATGTCTTGACTTGAAAATCTTTGTTTCAAAAGACGCTTAGCCCCATTAAAAAGCCATATCCGGTGTTTTAAAAAGCATACAGGATATTCATAGGCCTAAACTCTTCGCACAAAACAAGTACCTGTTCATTCATAATCAATGGTCATTCTTCCAAAGAACCCTAAACCCAGAGTAAATCCTCTTTCTAGCAAATTGGACTGTATGGGATTTATCTTTTCAAAGACGTTTTGAGTATCAGGATGTAGATGCCTAACGATATCAAACAGGATTTCCGGCAATGTAATCATCCTAAGACAATTTCAATATTCTTGCACGTCAATACGGCATTGGAGGTACCCTCTGATATTTTGAATGTCTCCGCGATCACGTTAAAGGGGGGAATTGTATTTCTTATTCTGACAAACCTGCTTGAGCGACTATCTAAATCTGAATAACCACGTTTGTTACAGTAGAACTGCATTTCTCATTTATTTCACAAACATTTACATAGATACCAGAGGTGTCGTGGTCGAGTGGATACGTCACCGGACTGTCGATCACAAGGTCCGCTGTTCGATTTCCGCCGCGGCACTAATTTCCTTTGGCAAGACATTAATCTACATTTGCCACACTCAACCCAGGTGATGTAAATTGGTACCTGGCAGGAATCAATTCTTGAAATGCTAGATCGACGTAATGGCAGCCGTGCTAAAGCCAGGGTAATATCAATAATCTCCTTCTGCGCCTCAGAATAGTTCACTAGATCGATGGCGCATAATAAATGCTGTAGTATTATTATTACCACCTGCCTATATCTATATACAAAATGCATATAATTTCCTTGTATCCATTGAGCAGTTAGGGTCCTTACTTATCACTGATTCGCTCATTGTGTTCGTTAATTATCAACCATATTCCCCCTCATAGGTCCAACAATGTTTTAATCAACAAAGCAACGTTCTCATATTGTGTTTCAAAAGCTCTGTTGGTTATCATGTCATTAATATTTTGATGATATGATCATTTTTGTATAGATCAACTTCGACATGTTGTGGGTAGTTGGATCATAGTCCTCATCAACTTACACAAATATTTATTTTTCTTAAATCATCATCAAAAGATGTAGGCCCATTTTCTGTTTATTTATTTATTTCTATGTTAGTACGATCCTCATCCTCAAAGTTGACCTTACTCCTAAACTTCTCACGAAGGTGCTTCCCCAGGACTTATTCAATGGTTTAATACATACAAATAGAATTGCATATATCAGCAAATTTAGATAACACACACATAACGTACATCTAACGAAATAATAAACAGGAGGAAATTGTCACTTGGGGAAAAAAAATAACAATGTTGACTTTGCGCCATGGTTTTATGGGCAGTGGGGACGGATTAGCTGCAGGTTGTTCCTGTGCCCTGAAAACGTACAGGAAGACGAAGCCATTGTATTCTCTTTCCTTTATCCACCAAACTTCCGCTGACCTGACTGCAAACATCTTGTTTCAGAACAAAGTCAGGTCAAGATCTAATCTCAATTGTAGATCGGTATCACCCAGTGTTTAAAGCCCCACTGCACTGCTTATAGCTACTTGCGCCCTCTATATAGCAAACAATGCCTAATCGGTGACCGTTGGTCCCCAAGGTCCCCATGATCCCCTTTCTTATGTTAATTGAGAGCTGATTTGATGAGATAGCCAGCTGTCAGTGACCTTGCAGGGAGGCATAATCCCCCTGGCCAAACTAGTACAGACGGGCTTTAAAGGGACTTTTTAGGGGGGTTTAGGGGAGGGGGCATGACACTAAAAATAAAAGATTACCATCTTGATATCCGTTAAAGGTTAAACAAATATTAATATCATAACCTAACAGAAATACATGTAAATATATTTATTTATTTATCCCTCTAATTATTTATCTCTCTATTTATTTATCTATTTATTTATTAACATGTTAATTCCTTTATTTATTTGTCAACATATATTTTTACAAGATGAAAAATATTACCTCAAGGCTGGTTTCCATTGGAGTCTTGTACCATACAAAGAAATCTTACAGCAATCAATAGAAAGGGAAACTTAAAGACCGTCAATACTACTGGGCCAGAATGGATTAGACCACACAGCGAGGTCACTGACAGGTGACTATCTCATTAACTCAGCTCTCAACTATATATTTATATTTAAATAAAGGTTTGCTGATGTAAAGGGTTGATCAACAGTATGAAATTTAAAGTATTGTACGAAATAAGTATACAAATAATAAGACTTACCAAATAACTATGAAACTAAAATTAAAAAAAGATTCCTTGAAAATATCGCGGCGCGCGTCGAGGAAGGGGCAAGAGTGGATTTTGCCCCCGGCCCTTTTACCGTTAACTATTTGATTGGGAGTGAGCGTGGACATGTGTAGCTATCTTGCTATTCAGATTCTTATTATATAGAATTATTTTCCCTTCTTTTTCTTCTTTAAATAAACGAGCCGATTATCATGATTATGAAGCTTTAGTCCTTGTCGTCGTTTTTCCAAGGAACGGCAGATTCGGGCGTCTCCAATAGAGAAAATACAGGCAAGAGTCCCACGATGATAATTATGTGTATGACAAACTTTTGATAGATTTAATTTTGTCTAAAGTACGATCAAGATAAAAAAAAAATATCAAGGTAAAATGGGCAAATTCTTAACGTCGACGTGACGCGCGGCAAGGTGAAAAGTGCCCAAATTACAGATATATTATAATTTTCGACAAATTGTTTATTTAACATTTTCCAGCAAGCCTCATCGGCATTGTACAAAATTGATAGTTTTACAGGAGATTGGCCGAAAGAAAAGGGTTTAATGGCAAGCGTCATCTCTTTAAATGAGCCAAAACACCAGGGTTTGTTTTTCTCAGTTCGACCACTTCCGATTTTCACCAGACATCCTACCATCAACAACAAGCATTTCCATTCAACTTCCTCCGCATCCAAGCATTGATTAAATTACCAGATCAGATTCTATAAGAAAGAGAGAGAGAAAAAAAAAACTATAACAGGAAAGAGAAGAAGAAGAAAAAGAAGAAGAAAAAGGCGGAGAAGGAGGAGGGGAGGAAAAATAGTATTAGTAGCAGTAGTAGTAGTAGAAGAAGTAGTAGTAGGAGTAGTAGGAGTAGTAGTAGTAGTAAGGAATAGTAGAAGTAGGGTCTTAGTAATAGACGTAGCAGCAGTAGCAGTAGTAGTGGTGGTGGTGGTGGTGGTGGTGGTGGTGGTGGAGGTGGTAGTAGCAACAACATCAGCAGCATAACTAATAGACTTATTTAACACATTATTTAACACATTTTATAACACTATAAAGGAAATTGATTGAACGTTTAAGATCTTTTAACTGCGTAGCAGTTTGCAATTTCCTGACAAGTTATGAAAAGATCGTTGGTAACGCAGTAATAGTGATTGCGTTGTGAAACCAATTCAAAAATAACTCGTGAAAGCAATCAGTCCTCTGTCTCTCTGTCTCTCTCTCTCCCTCTCTCTCTATCTTTCTTTCTCTCTCTCTCTCTCTGTTTCTTTCTCTCTCTCTCTCTCTCTATCTCTCTCTATCTCTCTCTCTCTCTTTCTCTCTCTCTCTCTCTCTCTCATTTCCTCCGCGTCCATGTCTCTTTCCATTTGTTGTAACCCTGTCTTCTTGACCAATGCTCAGAATGAAATTATCACATCGCATCTTTATTCAATAAAAACATGATAAGAGTAATGTAATACAGACAAATTACAAGTTCATAATTATACGAAATTTAAATAAATATTCACTTAAACCATCCACACACACAAGTTCCATGATAACCGATTTCATGATTAATTAATTATTAAATAACAGGATTTGGATTTGCAGAATGAACAGATAGAGGGAAAGAGAGAGAGAGAGAGAGAGAGAAGGGGGGGGGGCGAGGAAATTGGTTGAATCACCGAACAGTTACTGTTTTTCATATTGCTTCTAATATTCAAAGAAATCTACTTGGTATTTCCTCAATTATACATTAAGTTAAATAATCTTCAGAGGGAAATGAATCACACGCATGAAATAAATGCATGAAAACAATAGGAAAAGCCACCTACTCAGAAGGAAACTACACTGTTAGAAACAAATTAAACAAGTTGTTTAAAATTTTGTTTAAAAGTTTAAAATTTTAAACAACCACAAGTTAACCGGTGAACCGCTCAACTGTTGTTTAAAAATTAAACAACTTAAGGTTGTTTACGTTTTGAACACTTAGTTGTTTAAAAATTAGAAAAACTTTTAAACAACAGTTGTTTAATAATAAAATTGCACAACTCGGTTGTTTAAAGCAAGTTGTGTAAATGTTAAACAATAATGTTTAAATTACTAAGCAACTGTTGTTCATTCAATATTACTGCACAACTGGTTTTTTTATAAGGAGTTGCTTAAATTTTAAACAGAACTGTTTAATGGTTATTACCTGGTTGTTTAAATTTGTGAAATGACCTACTGGAACCACTCCTGCAATAATCACAAATATTGCAAAGTCACTGTAACATGTAGAGCTTGCAGTTGTCAATTTACTTCAACATTTGTTCATCATATTCATTTAACAGTGACAGACAACATTATTATTTGTCTCTATAACTTCACCTAAACCCCATCGGCTAAACCGAGAAGAACCAAGTCATCGCCTTGCCCTTGTTCTATCGTCTGCACTGCACTGCACTAGCACTTGCACTGCACACTAGCACTGCATGCTTGCATGCATGTACTATGTACGTACTTTGTGCATATCGCGTGTGTGCGCGCAAATTGCAATCGCGTATCGAGAAAATGTCAGCGATGCGAAATCATGATTGGTTAAATCTATCACGTGATTTTTCCCCCGGAACTTTTTAAACAACTCTGTTTAATTAAATCTTTTTGTCTTTCAATAAATA